ATTCCAAGCATGAAGGCCCCCAAAATATAGAACTCCGTTCTGGATCAATCCCTTATAGAGCCCTAAAGCCATCCCTTTAAAGGGTTTAGGGTTTAGGGTTTACCTTAACCCCAAATAACCTATCTTTTTCAGGACTTATATAAAGAAATCGTAGTAAGGAACCCTACAAAAGGTAGGTTCTGTGGGGTCCCGGTAGGGTTTAGGGGTTTAGGGTTTAGGGTTTAGGGCCTAAGCCCTACACCCTAAACCCTATACCACCCTAAACCCTAAACCCTAAACCACCCTAAACCCTAAACCCTATACCGTGAAGGCAGGTCCTTGGGTCCCGGTGAAAGCGCAAGAGTCAGTTCGGTCACTCCAACCGGAGCTCTCCTGGCGCTGCATAAAAAAGACGTGAAAGGGCTTAGGGCTTAGGGCTTAGGGCTTAGGGTTTAGGGTTTAGGGATTTAGGGATTTAGGGATTCAGGGATTTAGGGTTTAAGGTTTAGGGTTTTTTAGGGTTTCTGGTGCGACATTTTAGTACTACCATAAACGGTCCACAATGGGATACTACCTAGAAATTCCGGCGCGTGTAGTCCCCCAGAGACAGTCGGAAGGGCAGTAAGCCATTCCTGAGGATCCCACAGCCTACTGGAGCAGGGGTTGGACCCTATAATAAAGGCATCATAACCTACCAGAATGTCGGGTTTGGGGTTAGTGCAGGCATGGAAAATGTGTGCTTTGTGGGTGAGGGTTTACAAAGAATAGTAACCCAGAAGCAGACATAACAACGGTGTGACACTGAACAACCTAGGACAGATACACAGAAAAGTGGGGATGACAGGGGCTCAGCCACAAAGATCATCACCTTTGTCTTAGGGGCAGTACTAGTAGACAGAATATTGTTTTGGCTGGCTTTTGTAGTAGAATATCAGGACTACACGTCACTATACTGTTCCTAGTCATTCCGATCCACCCATATTACGTTGTTCAACTAGGGCCCCAAAAAAGCACATAAGCAAAAATTAGGATCCGGATATCCCATATAAATCGCCCTATAATGAAGCCCAGTAAGGTAGGGATATACCTATAAAGGGTTTATGCTTATGTGCTTTTTGGGTCCCTAATCAATACTGCTCATATGGACCGTGCCACCATGACGAACTACACGGCGACAAAACAACAAAACACCCTGACCCTAAACCCTAAACCCTAAACCCTGAACCCTCAACCCTAAACCCTGAACCCTGAACCCTGAACCCTAAACCCTAAACCCTGAACCCTAGACCCTAAACCGAAACCCTAAACCCTGAACCCTGAACCCTGAACCCTAAACCCTAAACCCTAACCCTGAATCCTGAACCCTAAACCATGAACCTTAAACCCTAAACCCTGAACCCTCAACGCCAAACCCAAACTAGTGCTCAGGGCTTAGATTTCGAAAGCCTCACCCCGAAATACCTGCGACAGCCATTCCTGCATGCTTACTGTGCTATATACCCAGAGAGCCCATAGAGCCCAATACCCCTTAATTAAGGAATGCTACCTTAAATTTTAGGGACCTTAATATTATGGACAATTAGGGAATATACCTTAAATTATAGGGACCTTGCTATTATGGTTTAAGGTATATTCCTTAATTAAGGGGTATTGGGCTCTCTGGGTACCTGAATGGGAATGTAAGTTGTCGGGCACAGTCTAGACATTGTTCTGAGACAATGAGGGGACACTGTTACATAATATACACAGCTCAGCTTCTCTGTAATACAGGGGCCTTAATACTCAGAATGGGGTTTTGGGGTATGTTAAGCCATAGTTATAATCAGGACCCGCCAAAATGGTATAGGTAAGTATCCAGGCTCCTATATTTCACCATATCCCTCCCCCAGAGCCCGAACACCTGAGCGACCAGGTCCTGGCCGTCATTGTGCCAGCGAGCAACGAAGCTTGGAAGTGACTATGCCTGACAGCACGCGGCGATTTTTCGTGGAGCCTAGAACAGGGGGCCGCAACACAAAAAGAAAGTGTGGTTGTCGGTGTTTTTGTACAATCGTAAATATCTTAGGACCTAGCCCGGAAAAGGTTATCAATACGTATTCTTTTTTAAACTAGGGTCCCTTAGGGCCCTTTTTATCAGGGTAGAGAAGGTAGGTTCTTTGTAGGGTCCAGGTAGGGTTTAGGGTTCAAGGTTTAGGGGCTTAGAGTTTAGGTCTCGGGGCTGGTGCTTACATCTTTGGGGCCTCACGTGGATTCTCAAACCATTGCGCAAGGTGCGTTTAAGGGCTTTGTGCGCAAGGCTTTCTGCAGGCTTTTGAGAAACCCTAAACCCTAAACCCTAAACCCTAAACCCTAAACCCTAAACCCTAAACCCTATGTCGAAGGCAGTTTTGCAGGGACTGGAGCTAGGCCTGGAGGATGAGGACGCTTAGCAAAAAGGACGTTGCTACTCAATCTAAGGGCTCTAGGAGGGACCCTTCATAGGTTAGGGTTTAGGGTTTAGGGTTTAGGGTTTAGGGTTTAGGGTTTAGGGTTTAGGGACCCTTCATAGGGACCCTTGTAGGTCATTGGGGTTAATATGGAGACTACCTGGCTATATAAGGGGTGTATAAGGACTATGCAAAGGTTATTTAAGGTAATGGGATTAAGGGTCCCTATTAGGGGTCCCTCCTAAAGTCCTTAGACTAAAACCCTCAAGCCGACAACCTTACACCCGAAACCCCAACCCTTACAGTAAACCTTAAACCTCAAACCCGGAGCCATGCTTCTTGCTGCTCGGGAAGTATAGCTTAAACTTCAAACCACACCCTGAACCCTAAACCCTGAACCCTAAACCCTAAACCCTAAACTCTAAACCCTAAACCCTAAACCCTAAACCCTTTTGGCTCCCTAAACCGCACTCCCGACTTCTTGCAACCCGGGACTTATTCCGTGTCCTTATTGCCACTCGGCATGGACGACTGTACGGGTGCACCGACAACCACTGGCGCCGCCACCTGCCCGCATGGAACCCGGTGTTCCCCTTGAAAATTCACGGGTAATTATCAGTGGGGTTTGGGGTTGAGGGCTTCCGATATTAGTTTCACGGGCGGTTATAAGTTGAGTTGTAAGTAGGGCAACTTTAAGTATAACCCTCCATTATGGAATAGGCCCTTAAATTGTGTAGGGGCCTGTAATATTATTGTCGTGAGCTATATTCCTTAATTATAAGTATAACGTTTATAAGTATGGAATATACATTCAAAATTATAGGGGCCTCTAATAAATATACCTTCAACTAAGGAGTTTACCTGAGCCTATAGGGGCCTTAACCTACTTGCGTTTACATGACAATCCCTAAACCCTAAACCCTAAACCCTAAAACCTAAACCCTGAACCCTAAACCCTTTATTAGAAGGGCTTCGAAGGTTCTACTTTTATCCCAACTACCCCCGAAAAACTCGATCTCGGAGTGCTGAAAAGGACGAGGCCTGAGGATAGGGTTTAGGGTTTAGGGTTAAGACCCCATACTACTAAAGGTACCCCTAAACTATAAACCCTAAACCCTATACCTTAAACCCTAAACCCTAAACCCTAAACCCTAAACCCCTAAACCCTAAACCCTATACCTTAAACCCTAAACCCTAGCCCTCGGGTTTGAAAGTTTTGGATGTATAGGGCTTGGGTTTACTAACGGGCAGTCAGGCCTGGGCTTTCAATATTGTTGGTGATATAAATCCTGCGTTGCCTTGAGGACCCCTAAACTATGGCAAGTATGGTATGTTCCTCATTAAGGATCATGCAGGATTTATATCATCAGCCGTATTGCTGCATCTGTGTGAGCAACTTTTTCGGAGGGTGCGTCACTCCGGATGGTCCTTAACGGGGAGCCCGATCTAGAGAACTTTCCACACTCAACATAATCCATCAGATCATTAAATCCTCTACTGATAAAGAAAGTCCGTTCATCTCTTTGTGATTTCTAGATTGCTTCTGCCAAACTCGAAAATGCTAATCTCTCTCATGCTTGTATCTAGAACTTGGCTAAGGACGGTGCCAATGCCTGCATTGCAACCCACACAAAAGAACACCATGCGTTTGTCCTCCTAGTTATTGACCCGGTCACACCTTCGAGGATGATGATCTTATGAAGCACACCACTCGGGGCAGCACTATTCATCGCATCTCCACAGGCGTTCCAGCATATGACGTGGTGTCTGTTGTGCATGATCACCCGCACAGTCAATGACAGTGTACATAAAATCATCGAATCTGCGCCGATTGTTGGGAGTAAAACGAACACAGCTAATGTTGGCCGTCTGCTTCTAGTATGCCACCCTTTGTATATCTCGGCATCAACTACTGCTACGACGACGGCATCGACTGATACACTCATTCTGATGAGCTTGCTTTTGCTTTAAGGCCCCTATGGGGTTCTTCATTAGACCCTCAAAAACCCAGAGACTCCAAGATGATGAGCTTGCTTTTGCTTTAAGGCCCCTACTAGGTTCTTCATGAGAGCCTCAAAAAACCCAGAGACTCTAAGGCTCCTGGGTTTAGGGTTTAGGGTTTAGGGTTTAGGGTTTAGGGTCAGGAATATGCCTTAACTTATAACTGGCACCCTGATATGGTTTAAGGTACAGTAGTACCCAGGTCCCTCCTTGTACCCTCAAAGAAGGGTATATGGCCCCAAATAATAATAATTTCGGGTCGAATAGAGGGTAGGTGGAGGGTCTCGGACAGTCCTTATTTACAGGGTTTTGGAGTCTCTGGGAATGAGGGTAAGAAGGATGCGCCAGAATGAAGCGGGCAAAAACGGCCCTACTGGGAGACCAGATTTGGGGTATTCCGAAAATAGGGGGCCCTAATATAGTACCCTAAATAGTAGGATCCTTACTATAAGGACCCCAAATAAGGTACCCCTTATTTTCGGAAACTCCCATTTATCTTCTATAAATTCCAGGCTCCAGAAGATCATGCCTGCAACACCTGTCCGGGAAGGGCTCCTTGTGGAACCTGACAGCCGGGACCCCAAGCCCTATAACCCCTAACGAGTAGAAGCTTCAGCTATACTGAACTTAGACCCCTAGCAGAACAAAACTATAATTTTCAGCTGCTTCCTGGGGTTTATAGTAGCCAAAGATTAAAAACTATTTCTGAATACCCCTAAGTCAGGCTCCAGACTGAAACTGTGGTTCTCTCCGAGCAACTAGCAATACCCTTCCTTTAGGCTCCCTATTGTAGCCTTGGGGTTTTGGGGGGGATCCCGCTCAGAGTTATACCATACCCTAGACCTCCAAGTATACACGTAGTACCTACTTGCAATTAATACCATACCCTAGACCTCCAAGTATAGACGTAGTACCTACTTGGGTGCCTACTGTAACGTCTATTCATCGAGGCTACCTTGGACTACTTGGAGCTTCCAGGGATGCACTTGGGGGTTCGTGGGTCGCTAGAATATGGTTTAGGGTTTAGGGTTCAGGGTTCAGTAGTTATAAGTGGGCTGTCAGACCCCTAACATGGGTTATACATATAGCTACCCTACTTATAACCCCACTTACAACTACCCATGAACCTCCATTTCACGCTCAATCCGGAATCCTTTAGGGAAGCCTTCAAGGAACCCTAAGGGACCCTCAAAAGACCCTTAAAGGAACCCTTACTACCCATGAACCTCCGAGTACTAATCTAGACCCAGGAGTAACCTAGGNNTTTTGGTTTTAAGGGGATTATAAGGGAGCCCCAACCCCAAAAAAGGAAAAAAGTTCCTACTCCGGGCCCTAATAATGATTCTTAAACCCTAAACCCTAAACCCTAAACCCTAAATATTAATTTAAGGTCCTCGACCTTTGATCGGTTCTGCAGGCTTTGCAAGGAGAGGCCCGACTCCAAGAGACTTAGTTGCTGGGCTTTCGGGTTTAGGGGTTTTGGGGGGTTTAGGGGTTTTGGGTTTAGGGTTTAGGGTTTAGGGGTTTTGGGGGTTTAGGGGTTTTGGGTTTAGGGTTTAGTCTTAGTTGAGGGTTTCGTTTTTCATGGCCGTTTAGGGCTTTCGGGGTTTAGGGTTCAAGTCAGCCGAAGGATCCCAACATCGGGATGAACATCTTAACCTCCCCTGCGACAGGACACGCAGCAAGTCTTCAAAGTTCTTGAACCCTAAACCCTAAACTAACACTAAACCCTAAATCCTGAATCCTAAACCCTAAACCCTAAACTAACACTAAACGCTAAACGCTATACGCAGAAAATGGAACCTGAGGCCTGGGTTCTCGAGGTTTAACTTCGGGACTGAAAAAACCCCCGTGTCGAGGCCGGTTAAATACGGGGTAGAACCCAGATTAGGGTTTAGGGTTTAGGGTTTTTAGGGTTTAGGGTTTAGGGTTTAGGGTTTAATTTAGGGTTTAGGGTTTAAGGTTTAGGGTTTAGGGTTTAGGGTACCCGGAACACATTTAGCAGTATGCTAGGTCTTACGAAGTAGACTCACTACATAGGCTAAAGAACTGTCGGGAACGGGACAGCCCGGGGCTGTCTTGTGCTGACGAGATACCGTTCCCTAAAGGACCCAATAATTAGGTACTCGGTTTTAGGATAGTAGTTTTGTAGGTTAGCATTTTAGAGAGTATATGATTATTAGGTACTTGGACCCGTAGGGTTTCCGTTTGGCTTAGAGTTTACTTGGCGTACTTCTGAACCC